TTAGCGCCACAGCACCCTGAGAACTGCCAGTTTGATCCAGAGAGAAGCTGAACTCGTAATTCTGATGGATGATGAAAACAGTAAGATACCAAGAAATCCAGGCCAGGCACAGTGGCTCATGTCTGTAATCCCAGCACTTTGGGAGGCCAAGGTGGGTGGATCACTTTAAGTTCAGGAGTTCGAGACCAGCCTGGCCAATGTGATGAAACCCTGTCTCTACTAAAAATACAAAAATTAGCCAGACATGGTGGTGCAAGCCTGTAGCCCCAGCTCCTCGGGAGGCTGAGGCAAGAGAATCACTTGAACTCGGGAGGCAGAGGTTGCAGTGAGCCAAGATCGCACCACTGCACTCCAGCCTGGGTGACAGAGGAAGACTGTCTCAAAAAGAAAAAAACAATCCAAAGTGATAATGGGTGAAGTCTATTTAGCATCCTAGTGGATTATTAAATTTTTAAATCTTAGTTGAGGAAATAGGTGTTTCAAATAATGTTCTGGAAACTATCAAGGAACCCGTTTTCAATATAGGCCTCAAGTTTTAATTAAGTATTTAAGGTGGTTTCTTGAAAACAATGAAATAAAATGCTTAATTTAAAAAATTTCCCAAAGTTAAAATGGTCTCCTGAAGACACATTTCGGCAAAAAAGGAAAAAATAAAAAATAAAGAAGAAGAGACTTTACTTAAAAAAAAAGAAACAGACCTACCACCTATTAATTCTAATTCCTAAAATAACTCACATCCCTTTTCTCTGAAAAAAGGAACAGCTGTACTTTAGGACCTCATCATTCTCACTAGAACAACAGCCTGCTCTATCTGATGCACTCACCTTCAGTCCTGCCCTTCCACGACCCCCACCTGACAGTCATCCACGCAGAAATCCCAGTGATCCTGTTACAGTGCAAATCTGATCTGTAGTAGTTCAACTTAGTCATGCTGGTAGCCAAAGGGCTAAGTCTGGCTGGCAGATTTTTTGTTTTATTTCAATGCCTTTGAGAAGGTATGCACCCCAAGCCCCACCACTCACTATAGTATTTATTAACTGCATTCATTTGCATTCACGCCTGGCCCCTGTGAGACATCTGAATTTGCCAACCTCTGACTTACAGTATACAATCCAAATACTGCAGCTGGTGTGATCTTTCTAAAATGCAAATGAGGCCATGTTTCTGCCTTGCTATGCTAAAAAAAAAAAAAAAAAAAAAAAAAAAAAAACCAGACCCAACCTCTGTCTTCATAGAGCTTGAAGTGCTATGGAGATGAAGCAAGGGAGAGAAGAGAACACGGTGTGGTGAGAGCAGGGGAGCCTATTTCAGACAGGCTGGTCAAGGAAGACCCACAGAGATGAGGGCACATACTATAAGGAAAGATGCACTCCAGTCAAGGAGTGGGACAGAGGCCCTAGAAGGTGGGAGGGCTGTCCCGCCAGTATTTTCTCAGTCAAATCCTAGTTTTTTTTCAGGAATCAGCTCAAACGCCATTTCTCCAAGGAAACCTTTCCTACCATTCGCAGGTGGAATGAAACTCCTCCTCCCACACATTCATACGCATATCTCCGCTATATTTTCATAATTCTGTCATCGTTTGTGGACATTGTCCTCAAAAATATTCACTGAAAAAAATTATCTGAAAATAAATACGCAGATATGATAAAGCACTCTTGACGAAACCGTCCTGTTGCTTTCTCTAACAACGAGGGATGGTATATCAAATGTATTCCTCAGAAAGAAAAGGGTTTTGGAATCAAAGTCCAGGTTTACATTTCTCATGTGAGTGAAGTTGGACAAATTCCTCAGCCTGGCTGAAGCCACCACTTATGCATCAGTGAAGTGCTGGAAGGACCAAATATGCAAAGTCACATTTTAGCCCTAACCTGGTGAAAGCACATAGTCAGCCCTCAGTAAATACTGCTTTTCCTTCCTCTTAAACTGCTTTCCATCATTTAGCTGCCGAAAGCAGGTGTTGCCACAAGAGGGCACCTTTAGCACAGCTGGAAAGGCATGGCTGCTGTGCCTTCTCAGATTAAACCAGCCACCAGCTCATGCTTAAGCTTTAAATCCACAGTGGGTGAACACTGAATGAAAAATAACATTTGACAAGTATAGAGCGGTGATGAGTTTGGTATTGCCAAGTCTATTACAGAGAGACTAAGAGAAACGAGAACCCAGCATGGTGGCAAAGAGCAAGGGTGTCTGAAGTCAGACTGGGGTTTGAATGCGGGCTCCCTGACCACACCGGGCAAGTGTGCCTCTCTGAGCTTCATCTGTAGATGCCAGGGCTCTACTAGAGGATGGGTGCTGGCCCCAGTGAACTCAATCTGGCTTGATGGATGGATGAACCAATGGATAGATAGGCCCCAAGTGATGAGAACAGTAGGAAAGAAGAATTGAAGTTACCTGGTAACTGCTGACCCGCTGTGGGTACACAATGGCACCAGCTCTGTGCTTTCTCCTCTTAGCAGTGCATCCTCTATAGTGTTGCCCAATACTGGACAGCCTATGCTTCAAGGAAGCCAAGTGAGACAATAAGCTGTCACAAAGATGAATTCTAATTTCAACAAATTAGAAAAAAATCAGACTTTAAGAGGATTTTTTAAAGTTGATTAAAACACATGCGTTAAGGACAATCTCTTCAACAAATGGTGTTGGGAAAATGAAATATCCACATGCAAAAGAATGAAGTTGGATCCTTACTTTACAACATATACAGAAATTAACTCAAAACATATTCAAGACCTAAATTTAAGATGTAAAATTATAAAACTCACATTGGATTTGGCAGTGTATCTTGGATATGCCACCAAAAGCACAGGCAACAAAAGTAAAAGTAAATAACTGGATTACATAAAAATTTAGAACTCTGCTGTGCATCAAAGTCAATGGATATAATCAAAGGAGTGAAAAGGTAACCTGTGGAATGAGAGAAAGTATTTGCAAATAATATATCTGATAAGGGGGCTGGGTACAGCACCTTACACCTGGAATCCTAGCATTTTGGGAGGCCCAGGCAGGCAGACTGCTTGAGTCCAGGAGTTTGAGACCAGCCTGGGCAGCAATGGCAAAACCCCATCTCTACAAAAAAAATTAGCACGGTGTGGTGGTATGCACCTCTACTCTGCTACTCAGGAGGCTAAGGTAGGAGAATTCCTTGAGCCCAGGAAATTGAGGCTGCAGTGAGCTGTGATCATGCCGCTGCATTCCAGCCTGAGACCCTGTGTTTTAAAAAAAAATATATATATATATATATAAAAAAAATTAAGCCCCTTTAGATATATATCTATATCTATATATATATATATAACCCCTTTAGATATAGATGTATAAAGATGTATCTGTATATATATGCAGATACCCTATATCTAAGAGGGTTAAATATGTATTTATAACATATACAGAAATCAAAAATATATTCAAGATCTAAATTTAAGATGTAAAATTACAAAATTCTTAGAAAACAGGAGGAAAGCTGTTAAAAAAATATATATCTCCTTAGATATATATTTCCAAGGGGGTTAAAATCCAGAATATAAAGAATTCTTACAACTCAACACCAACTCAAGCGTATGAGATGCTCAACATCACTAATCATTAAATGGAAAATACAAATCAAAACCAGCATGAGATTATCACAACACATCCATTAGTATGGTTACAATCTGAAAAACAGAAAATAACAAGTGTTGATGAGGATGTGGAGAAACTGGAACTCTAGTGCACTCTTGGTGGGATTCTAAAATGGTGCAGCCATAATGGAAAACAGTCGAGTGGTTTCTCAAAAAAATTAGAATTACCATATGATACAGCAATTTCACTTCTGAGTATATACCCAAAAGAAAAGTAAGCAGGATCTTGGCTGGGCACAGTGGCTCACGCCTGTAATTCCAACACTTTGGGAGGCCGAGGCGGGTGGATCACCTGAGGTCAGGAGTTCGAAACCAGCCTGACCAACATGGTGAAACCCCATCTCCACTAAAAACACAAAAATAGATGGGCATGGTGGTACATGCCTATAATCCCAGTCACTCCAGAGGCTGAGGCAGGAGAATCGCTTGAACCCGGGAAGAGAGGTTGCAGTGAGCCAAGATGGTGCCATTGCACTCCAGCCTGGGCAACAAGAGTGAAACTCTGTCTAAAAAAACACACACAAAAAAGTGGGATCTTGAAAAATATTTGTACATGTTCATAGCAGGATTATTCACAATAGCCAAGAGGTAGAAGCAACCCAAGTACCCATCAACAAAACTGGCTCAACAACGTGGTATACATACAATGGAATATTATTCAGCCTTAAGGAAGGAAGGAAATTCTGACATATGTTATAACATGGAAAAACATGAAGGACATTACGCTATGTGAAATAAACCAGCCACAAAAAGACAAATATGGTACGATTCCACTTATATAAAATATCTAGAGTAGTCAAATTCATAGAAACAGAAAGAATGGTGGTTACCGATGACTGAGGTGAAGGGAAAATGATGAGTTTCTGTTTAATGGGTATGGAGTTTTAATTTTGCAAGGAAACGTTCTGGAGATTGGTTGAACAATAATGTGAATATATGTAACACTACTAAACTGTACACTTAAAAATGTCTAAGATGGTATATTTTATGTGTATTTTACCACCATCTTTTTCTTAAAAAAAGGTTTAATATGCTTCTCCCTCTGACACACCTTAATATGCTTCCACCCCTGTTGAGTCTGCATGTACCAAAATGCCTCTATTTGATGAGCAAAGCTACTCAGAAGCTTAGAAACCTGATAATGCAGTTGAAACATCCTGAAAACAGAAAGATTAGCATTTCTTTCCTTCTAATTTACCAGAAGTATGCCACAAGACACTGGATATTCAGTCCTATGTACTATTCATAAAAACATTTGTATAGAAAATAGTATTTTCTACATACGGGGTCTCAATCAACTAACAGGATGCCAACCTTTAAAATACGGGCAGACTTCTGGCTCTGGATTAGTCTCTGTACGCAGTTACAAAGGAATTTTAATACTTGTTTTCAGGAAAAAGTATTTATTTTACACCATTACAAAAATATTTAGGCACATAATTTTCATGTTTATGTCACCTGATTTACATACCTCAATTCCTCAGTACCTTTTAACACTAAAATGGTCATTTGGTAAATAGACTCTAAAATGAAAAAATACTGAGAGGTTACCTGTAGACAAAAATCAGTTGATCATCAGCATGAGAAAGAAAACACCTGTGAAAAAAATAATCTCTAAAAACATTTTTGTGAGACAATAAATCTAACCAGTAGATTTCTTTTTAAAAAGTATTTTCAAAGAACAAAGCTTTTAAAAAAAAAACTACAGCACTGTAAACTATATCCTCATACCATGAAGCAGCATCCTGAAAGTAAGACCTAGAAGACTGGCTTAGAAAACAGTGATGGTGCCAGGGACTCACAATATATGACAACCGAGACAGGCCTGGAAGCAGGGGCAGCATGGGGTCAACTGCTTTCAATTCAGAGAGGGGAAAAGGAACGCTGCTGGCCTTTGCAGGAGCCATCTTAAGATGAAAAACTGAGAAAGATTTAACTGAATTGCTACTCTAAAATGTAATTATCTTCCTTTAAGATAGAAAATAATTTTCCTGGCCGGACATGTGGCACACACCTGTAATCCCAGCACTTTGGGAGGCTGAGACAGAAGGGTTACTTGAGGCCAGGAGTTTGAGACCAGTCTGGCAACAGAGTGAGACCCTGTCTTTACTCGGGGAGGGGGGAAAAAAAAAAGGGAAGAAATGAACCAGGCGTAATGGGACATCCCTATAGTCAGAGCTACTTAGCAGGCTAAGGCAGGAGGATCACTTGAGCCTAGGAGTTTGAGACTGTGGTGAGCTGCTATGATTACACCATTATACTCCAGCCTGGCTGGTGACAGAGCAAGACCTTGTTTTAAAAAAAAAAAAAAAGAGGGGGAGGTGGGGGGAATTTTTTTTCCCTTTATTAAAATGTACCATCACAATATAAAAGCAATTTTGTTCTTTTTTAAAAACAGGTAGAATCACCTGCATCATGTAATGGCCACAATTGTGTCCAGTAGATATTTTTAAAAAAGAAAAGATAGTGAACAAAAACTGTTACCTAAGGATTCTAGAGGCAACGAGATACAGGGTCATGTTTTTCAGGATATACCATATTGCCCAAGCCTCTAGCATTTATGGACCATAAATTAAGAATCTTGTTTTGCCTTGAGTCTCACCATGAAATAATGACACGGTAGCCACATTTGCTGAGTGCCTAATATGTACTAGGCATTGTGCTAAGTAGTTTCATATCCATTATCTCATTTATTCTGAACATTTTTCCTCAGAGAGAGAAAAATCAATTACAGTCTTGTTCATAGGAAAAACCAAACTTACAGTTTTGGGAAAACAAGAACATGTACAGTAGAGGAGGCCTCAGGCTCCTCACAGAATTCTAAGAGCTGTGTTGTTATCTCAGAGCTCGAAGATTAACATGAGTTACGAAAGTCCCCTCAGATTAAAAAAATGTTTTAGCTCTGTGGGGCACCCCTAAAATCAGTGATACTCATAACTATGCAGGCAGTTCTTGGTTACAAAATCACGGACTCCTTTCATCTGTCTCCTTTCTCCCACTCAGGGTCCAGGTTATCATGTCTGGCCAAAGAATTACACACTCCTTGAAAGCAAGAACCATGTCTTGTTTATCTTTTTTCCACAGCTTAGCAAAATGCTTGGCATACAACAGCTGCTCACTAAATCTCTGCTCACTGAACGAGGCTGTAAAGCAAGGCAGGCCCAAAGTCCTGGGGTGCCATTTCAAACCGATTCAATGTGAAACTCCACTGTTCCTCTGTGAGGATCCAGCATCAGCTGTACTGACCAAAACCCTCCATGGATTCTTGATAAAACAGGACTACCAAAAGCGTGTAAATGCACTTTTTAAAAAAAACTAGGTGCAAACTGGAGCCTATAAATGATTGACTCATAAAGTCCACAGCCACATGGAGCAAATAAAACTCAACAGGACATGCTGGCAACGTGTAGCCTGGCCAACTAGGGTTATTCCAATCCATTTAGCCTTGACTAGAAGCAGATTGGCCAAAGAGGGCCTCACTTACATTGAACAGGAGCCACTAGTCATAGAATTTGTCTTTTGGAACACCACAGCTCATCTGTCTCCGTGGGCAAATTAAGGAGTTAACTCTGTATTGCTTCTTTTTCTCCCAGGAGGCAGTTAACAGGACAAAGAATTTCTGCATTTATTTCTAGTAAATATCAAACATGGGGCAAAAACCAGATTCTGGGAGGTGCCACAATACCAGGTAAATCACCAGTATATTGTAACATGCCTGCAAAAATCAAAACACAAACTCCAAAAGACTATTCAGTCTCCAGCTTGCTCACACTGCTCCATCTTGCAATGCTGGTTAGCAGCTGAAGGAGGCATCCGGCAAGCAGAAGCTGCTGTACTGCTCTGGTCAGCCAGAAGGTTCAGCATAAGCCAGGGCTCCCAAGGCACAGAAGCCTGTCATGTGCATTTAGTGAAGCGGTAACTACACAATTTTCTCAAATACTCCTGAAGAGGTGACAGATCTCCTAGGGAACCTGACCCCCAAGAGGCAGTTCAACTCCTGGTGGGGCTCTAGCCTAACAACTGTTAAACACACCCAAAAGCCTTTCATGAAGAAATATTCTACAACAAAAATTATTCAAAGGTCCCTCCTTCATGTTGCTGACAGAAGGAAAAGAATCACTAAAAATAGCTCTCACTATGCCCTTTCACTATATCTAAGCAAAACCAGGAAGTGTTGGCAACATTAACAGCCAGAAGTGCATTACCAACTAAAGTCAGCCTGGAAGTGGGATAAAGGTTTCAGGACAGGGTAACCTGTCACTCTTCCTGATTTGCAAAGTATGCTCCTCTCTGACACCAAATTCAATCAACTGCTTGCTTTTTTGAAAGGGCTCAAGTGAACTCAGGATCTGTTTCCTAAGTCCCTCATAGGGGAAGGGCGGTTAATTAAATGGCAGTCATAGTTCAATAAAAAGGACATGGGTTTGATGTATTAGCAAGTCATCCTTCTCTGAGTTTTGTTTTCTCATTGGTAAAATAGGGAGAGTAAGACCCATATGACACAAGATAATATCCTTTACTCTCAGTGGAATTTTCTCAGGTCAGAAGATGCTAGAAAACAGTGAGTCTAAGGCTCTTAATGAAGCTTGTAACTTGGGAGTTGGCTGCAGGGATAATTCTAGGAACAGAGCACCACCAGCCAGGCTTTAGAAAAGACAAACCAAAAGAGAAAGACAGGAATATGAAAATAATCTCAATATAAATTTTCAAATCAAAAAAAAATCAAAACCCTAACTGTTTAGATCAACAGAGTCCAGTGGATTCCAAACCCAATGAAGTAGACACTAGTGTGTGCATTAGTGCAAAGGCACCAAATCTCTTGCACACTGGCTGCACAACTGGCCTGAGCAAACAACACTAATCCTCAAGGTCAATGGATATCTCTGAGTCAAGTCATAGGATTATGTTTGAGTTAAAATCTCCACCCTCCAGATTACCCCAAGAGGCAATTTAGGCAATGCCCATTCACACCTGCTCTTCCAAAATGCAGCAATGGTTTTGAGAGAAGTTGGCAAGCTCAGTAAGAGAGACAAGGGGCATATAATGTAGGTGGGAATGTTGAAAGGAGGGAAGTTTGCTCATTGCTCATGCCATTTAAGAAAGAAGCTGACAGCTGTAACACTGACACTGCCAGAGAAAAACCAACCAGTGACAATATGAAGAATCTAACCAGCCTTTCCCCTCAAACCAATAAATTCAGAAATGTGGGACCTCATCATATTCATCCAAAGAGCAACTGAACCCAAAGGAAGGAGGCAACGGAAAACAGACTTGCCTGTCTGCAATTCTCACTTAGAGAGGGAGTCAATGCTGAGCTGCACTAGTTTACAAAACACAGCTCTTTACTTGTACCTCATCTCACATTGCAGCATTTGAACTCACACTGTTGCAGGGTAGGTAGGGCAGGTGTTTTTAATCCAATTTACAGACTTGCGGCTTTTGAGGGCTGAAACAACTTACTCCCTCTAGTGACATCCTCTGAATGATTTTAACAGAGCTAAATTCACAACCTTACCTCAGTCACTATGGCAGGAGTGAGATGTTTCAACTACCTCTGCAAACATCTCTGTATCCCCAGTATTTAGCACAATGCCTGGCACATATACTTAAAACATTTTAGTTGAATCAATAAATCAAATAGATGAATAAATTAGTAAAAGGCCTACTTTCTCACCCCCTTCATTATCCCCATTCTATACAACAAAAAAAGAACATGTTTTCAAGGAATGCACTCTGCTCATCCTATGAAAGTCAGGGAAGCTAACGTAGACAGCAATACACTTCAAAGCCCCACATCTTTTTATAGTGCCAAAGTTGTTTTCCTTGGCAAATGGAATGACGATATGACGAAGACAATGCAATCATAAGAAATAAAATTCAAAGAAGAGAAATTTCACATATTTGTCTGCATTTCCAGCAGAGGAAAGGCTAAACTGCCTCCAGATGCAGCAACAATTTGAATGATGAAGCTCCAGTTGGCAAACATTATATATGCAGCTCTCAGGGACACCTGGATATCAAATTATGAAATAAAATACTTTCAAAACACTGATGTTTCACTGTCGGCATAGAAGAAAAATAAATTAAAAAGCCCAGTACATTTTCCAGTCTGATATAAATTAATTCAAACAACATATTTAAAATAGAGTCAATTATAAGTTTCTCTCATCATAAAATTTTAAAAGGCAGCAATCAATCCTCAGATTGTACAAGTGCAAAGGAACGGTATTTCCTCCATGATCAAGACACCTCAGTGTCTGTGTAGGAATTGCCAGTGTTCTGAGTTGATTAAAAACTTAGGCCTACGTATCAGATGAAGCAATCCTCTGGTCACACTGCTCCTTTCCCCTTAATGTCCAGCTTGTTACTAGCCTCTGATTGTTTGCTCAGCTGCTCTTCAGTGAAAGTGATATAGGAATACACCAGGCTCCCAGCAATGCTGCAAAACAGAAAACCACTATAAGAGATGGAGGAAGGGAGGGTTTTAGGGTAAACACTCTACTTGGTTAAAAAAAAAAAAAAAAAAAAAAAAACTTACACCAAAAAATTAGATGAAGAGTAAAGTTTCATAGTGGGGAATTGTATAAATTCATACAACGGAGTACTATACATCTATTAAAATGGTATAAAATAAAAACAGGCATTGACATATTAAATTTTAGAGACAGCTTAAATTTTTATAAGAAAATATATCATAAAACATCAAGCATTGTCTAATCTCATTTTATTTAAATGAACATGAATATGTACATCAGTACACACTAGAATAGACAAAAGTCTGTGAGGAACACACGAAGAATATTAACAGTGGTTACAGCTGGATGCTGACACTACAGGTAAATTTTTAGTTGTATGTTTTTTGCATTTGGAAAAATAGGCATTAATAGGAAGCATCCCAAATTAGTTAAATATGCAGACCCTACGAGATTCACAGAGCTGGTTTTTCTCTGACTAAAAGCAAGTTCACAGTGGTGAACTTATCAGCTGGGCCTTCAGCCTATGACAGGTGGTTGCTGGTACCCCCCACTTACCCATCACACCTCCCACCAAGAAAGATCACTCTTTGGTGACAATGATTACTTGGTCCATTCTCTGTGGGGACCTCAAACTCACCTAGGATACACAGCCTCCTACCCGATTCACTAAGTGGAAAGTAGGTTGGAAGAGCTCACAGATCCGACCACTCCTGCCCTGCCCTCCCTGGCTCTTCCACTGAGACTGCCACCCAGGACTCCCTTGGATCCCAGCCAGCTGGGTGCCTAACCTGGGCTCCAATTTTTCTACCCTGGATTTGGCCCTCATCTTCTGCCTGACCACTTGACTCATGAACTTACTGCTTATTTAAAATTAGTTCTGTTCTCCTCTGGGCTCTGACATCAGCCCCAGACCAGCTGGAGAAGAGTGAGAGATGCCTAGCTCTTGTTCCCACTAGGAAGAAAGCGGGATCAGGCACTGGCGCTTGTTCTTGACTACACATGCTCACATAATACTAGCCATTCTCTGAGACCCCAATCAACCCAAAATAAAGCCTCTTCCAATTGAACCTTCCCAACCAGATTCTTCCTTTTCCTCATCTGCACCTCACAGCACTTAAGAGCAACCGAATTATTAAAGTCTACCTGTCAAACATTTTATATACATTTCCATTTTCCCAATATTCCTGCAAGGTACAATATCTCTCCAAGGTACAATATCCCTCCAAGGTGTCCATTTTATAGATGAGGAAAGTCCCAGAGTCATAAGATAACTTGCTCAGGGTCACAAAGCATCCTAATGATACACCAGAATAAAACCCAGGTCAGCCTTTCTCCACTCCAACTGCTGCCTCCCTTATGACCCTTGTGCCACTGGGTATTAGTTATCCATCCTCATTTTGTCCTTATCATCTTGTTAATTTCCCATGGCCTCGATTCTTTTAGCTGCACAGAGTCTCTTGCAATTGGCCTGGCATTTTTTAGCAACACAGTAAGTAACTGCTAAAATGAGTATCCCCCATCACCCCACCTGAGGAAAGGGGACACATGAACCCAATTCTTACACTTTTATTGGTCCTTTTTTTCCCCCTTTCTGTGGAGAATGGGGTCTCACTATATTGCCCAGGCAGGTCGTGAACTTCTGGGCTCAGCTATCCTCCCGCCTCTACCTCCCTAAGAGCTGGGATTACAGGAGTGAGCCACCGCGCCTGCCATGAACCCAATTCTTATGCCAATGTTCATAGAGCTTATGCCAATGTTCATAGAGCTTCATCTTTTCTTTCATCTAGCAGCTTTTTCCCATTTAATTTTTTCTGGAATTTGGTATGACTCTCCTAGAAACTTTTCTGGTTTTTCTAGTACCTCAAGTAGATTACTTCCCTGGTAGCTGGACTGGACCCAAGAAGATGGCTTACTGAAGTCTTTTTGACTGAAGCTAAAAGTTTGTTAAGGTTCACATGTACACCCATCCACATGACAGTCAATTTCCCTCTGCCTCCAAACCCACCCCAAAACAAAGTAGAAGAGCTACCTCTCCTTTCTTTCATCCTACCTTTCTCTAGCTTCCCCTTCCCACAACCACCTAAAAAATAAAAATGTTTCTTATTTTTCCTGTTGAGACAATCTCTGATGTTCATATTAACCCTATTTAAACTGAATAGGAATACCGGAGAAGCACAGGATAGAAAAAGACAAAGAATGTCCTGGAATTTATTCCAGGCATAGCCCTAATGATAATTCCAGATCCTATATTCCCAGCAGAGTCAGTGTATTGAAAAAAACATTGACTCTACAGTTAGGTCTTGGTTCAAATCCTGAATATACTATAGGTTGAGTATCTCTTATCCAAAATGCTTGGGACCAGAAGTATTTACGATTTCAAATTTTGGAATATCTGCATTATACTTACCAGCCCGAGCATCCAAATCCCAATTCTGAAATGTTCCAAAGAGTATTTCCTTTGAGCGTCCTGTTAGCATTCAAAAATTCCAGATTTTGGAGCATTTTGGATCTTACATGTTCAATCTACACTAGCTATGTGACCCTGTGCAAATTAATCCATTTCTGTATTCATCAAATAAGAATACTGTTACCTGTCTAAGCTTGTCTGAGGATTAAATGAGATTACGTGAATAATCTCTTCATTCTCTTCTCTCCTACCTTCCCTGTCAGCCCTGACACTCACAGACCAGAGGGGATATGCACTGCTGACAAAAGGTAAGGTACTATAATAATAAACGTCTTACTCCATTTGGGTGGCTGTAACAAAATACCATAAATGGTGGCTTATAAACAACAGAAATTTATTTCTCACAGTCCTAGAGGCTGGGAAGTCTAAGATCAAGGCGGGTTCAATGTCTAGAGAGGGCTCTCTTTCTGGTTCACAGACAGTATCTTCTCATCATGCTCTGGGATATCTTACATAAGGGCACTAATCTCATTCATGAGGGCACCAACTCCATGACCTAATCACCTCCCAAAGCCCTACTTCCTAATACTATCACTTTGGGAGTTGAGAGTTCAACAAACGAATTTTGGGGGAACACAAACATTCACACCATAGAGCAAGGAGATGTAACATAATGAAAGAGGGGGCACACTATTGCCACATGGTTGTAACTTGAGGCAACAATAAAATATTTTTAATTTCATCTTTATTACTGACTTGATCATTATCAAAAATAATTTTCAGAAAGGGCAATTCAAGAACCACCTGAAGAGAACTGAACATTCCTCAGCAAGCATACTATGTGTTATGCAGTGATGAGTAAACGCTTTGGGAAGAAACTATGTAAGTTGCTCTCTAGCAGCTTTGGGGAAGGGGAAAACTGGAAGGAAGGGAAAGGGAAAATGAGGAAAAGCCCAGATTTGAAGGGGAGAAGGGTTATATCTGAATTTTTACACATCACTACTAAATGATTCTAAATCAGGATCTTCCACTACTTCAAACAGAGACCCTTTAACTAATCTATTGGCCTCATAAATATTCACAAGAAAGTTGATACCTTCTGGTACTCTGAAATTGGTGTTAACACATTAGATCATCCTAAATATTCATTTTTTAAAAGAAGAACCCCTTGTATTAGAACTGGTCAAGATTTTTCTTTTAAAAAGGTAAAACGTGCATATTAAAAATAGGGTAAAATCATTATGCAAGCCTAGGTTTATGCCGTTTAAAAAATTTTCAAGCAATTTTCATGTCTAATCTTCAAACAATAGCACTGCCAACTCTTTTTTTTTTTTTTTTTTTTTTTTGGTTGCCAGGCTGGAGTGCAGTGGTGCCATCTTGGCTCACTGCAACCTCCTTCCTCCAGGGTTCAAGCGATTCTCCCGCCTCAGCCTCTGTAGTAGCTGGGACTACAGGCGCACCCCAACACGCCCAACTAATTTTTGTATTTTTAGTAGAGATGGGGTATCACCATGTTGGCCAGGGTGGTTTCGATCTCTTGACCTTGTGATCTGCCCACCTCGGCCTCCCAAAGTGGCACTACCAAATCTTAACTCACAGAGACCTGCTGTGGCAGACACAGCTGGGAGACAACCAGAAGAAAAACACAAAGCTACAGTTCTGAGACAGGGGCCTTTGTTAGAATACCGCAAATGACTGGAATGTGCTAAACTGCTTCCAAATCTATTGAATCTATTAAATCCACTTGATCTGCTCTGATCCACTTTTGATCTTCAAAAGCAATGCAAACACAGTCTACTTCTCCTAAACCTACAGTCATGGACATATTCATTAGCCCCCAACAATGAGATATCCATTCCAAAAATATACACTAAAAATGCTTTCAATATAGCGACTCTGTGGCCAGGGAACAACAGTCCTAACGTCCAGGCTGCCTCTTTCGTATCTCATCACTAACATGTCTGTTCATGTGTCTAGGCAGGTACCTCTGCCTCCCAGATTAGACCCTGCCTTCTATATGTCAAATAAGCCAATCTACATCAAAACCTATGAACCAAGAGTTTGCCTTGCACCACTACTTCCTAACAAACAAAATTCCTGCCAAATAACTGAAACTGGGTTTCTGGGTACATTCTTCCCACAATGACCAAGGACACCCATCTTCACTCCCCATACAGCAACTTTTAGGAAGACTTTTCCCATTTTCTTTCCCACCAGCTAAATACAGCAGAGCTGTACTGCCTCTGTATCTACCATCTTTCAAAGGTTTCCAATCTGAACAGAGAGAAACACAAAGATGTCATTGTGCTGAATAAAGAGAATCTAACTGTGTGCACTCTGCCACTTACAAAGCTCTATGATGTGGGGCAAGTTACTTAGCCCCTCAGAACCTCAGTTCCCTCACACCTGTGAAATGGAGATTATAATACCATTCTTACAGGATTGACATAGGAATTACATTATATAATTTAATTATATGACAATGTTATAATATTAACATGTTATATATGTTATATGTTATGTTATATATGTTAGATGTTATGCTATATGTATATTAACATATGTTAAATTATATACTTAAATTATATGAGACAATAGATCATTTCACAAGGTTAAGTAGCATGCAGTGGCCACCCAAGAGACGTAAAAGTCAAAACGCTAAGGTACACCAGGGGCTAATATCGGTGAACAGTAAAAAGATGAAAGGGGTTTTGGCAATTGCTGCTTCTCTTCATCCTCAAGGCTTTTCTGTTTTTGATCATTCTAACTAGATCTTAACTGTATGGCAAGTAAGCAAGTTTTGACCCAACCTCTACCATCTGCAGTCTATTGGTATCTCACAGAATGTCTTCCGAGTTGGGCACTCACTCTTCCTCCGTTATGAGACATTTGAGAGGCACCTCACACTCGGTTACTGACCTACTTTTCCAGAATTATCCTTGTGAAATCCCTCTTCCACTAACCACACTGGAGTGCCTACTGCCCATTCTCCCCAGCCCTCATCCAACAACTGCATTTCCACCTTCATGTTTTTGTTTGGTCCGGGTAGATTTCCTTGAGAAGATAACATCTGAGGAAAAACTTACAGGCATAAAAGTTAGCCACGCAAATATCTGGCAGTATATTCCAGCCAGAGAAAATATTCAGTCCAAAGGTCCTAAAGAGGGAGCACGCCAAACATCCTAGAGGAACAGCAAGGAGGTCTATATGGATGAAGCAGAGTAAGGGAGAAGAAGAGAAGCAGTGGCTGAAGTTGGAGAGGTAAACAGGGGCTAGATCTAGTAGGGCCTTGTAAGGACTTTGGAACTTCAATAGTCATGGGGCAGGGAGTATGGGAGCATTAAAAGAATGATATATTCAGACTTACCTTTTGCAAAGAATGCACTGCCTACTCTGTTGAGAATTGACAGCAGGAGAGGGAGGTGGATGAGTCAAACCAGAGATAAAACTGTATAAGACTAGGGCAACAATCTAGCTCAGCTGAGGATGAAAGCAATGCTAATAGTGACAAGAGATCTTCTGTTGGATAGTTTCTGAAGCTAAAGCCAACAAAATTTGCTCACACACTGGATATTAGACATGAGATAGAAAAGTCAAGGATAATGCCAAGATTTCTGAACCAGGTAGCTAGAAGGATGGAGTCTCCATCAACTAAGATGATAGAGACGATGGGTAGCACAAACTTTGAAGGAAATAAACAGTTCAGTTTTAGACATGTCAGCAGGAGGTGTCAAGTGGACTGTTAACTAGACAAGTCGGACTTGAAGACAGAGGTCTGGCCCAAACAGAAATGTGATCATTTTTAGGCATGTAAAGAATATTAAAACAATGGGATTCAAAACTCAAGAACTGAAAAAGATCTTTCAAACAATTCAAGTAACCCCCTTCACTGATGAAGACATGTAAGGTCTAAAGAAAGGTAGTAATACGTCTGAGGTCAGACACACATCAAATAATTATTGTTATGTTGTTCTTCTTTAGCCCTATATTTCTAGAGAACATTGCACTGCCAGCTAGCATAATAGAGTGCTTTCAAGGCTAAACAAAGGGAGTTAAACTTCTAGAAAAGATTCCCTAATACTCTAAATAGAATATAGAAGCATTTTCTCCACCCTCCACTTTTATTTTTTTTAATTTTATTTATTTATTTTTTTTAGGCTGGAATGCAGTGTAATCACAGCTCACTGCAGCCTTGACTTCCTGGGCTTAAGTGATCCTCCCGCCTCAGCCTCTCGAGTAGCTGGGACTACAGACATGCACCACCACACCCAGGTAATTTTGGTATTTTTTTGTAGAGACGGGAGTTTCACAATGTTGCCCAGACTAGTCTCAAACTCCTGGGCTCAAGCAATCTGTCCACCTCAGCCTCCCGAAGTGTTGGGATTATAGGTATGAGCCACCATGCCCGACCTCTCCCCGCTTCTTAAAAAGCATTATGTAGAGACATTAAATATGTAGCACACAGAAGGCACTCCATATATGTTTAATAATGAATAAATTTTCCATTAATTTAATAGCCTAACCTTATTGTGACATTATTTGAATATCCAATCCCAATTTTTCAATTTAATTAAATTGTTTTACTCACCTGATATTTAAACCAATGAAGTTTGTCCATGTGAAAATATAATCTCCACCAAAGACCATTCCAATATAAGTTATTAATATATTCTAAAAATAAAAATAGTAATATACTGTTACATAGGTTTAACGGAGTTTCTTAAATATATATAAAATTCATCCAAATATCTGTCCTTAAAATACAAAAACAAATAAACAAAAGACAAACAACAAAAACCCACCAACCCTAATAAGAGTATAGTATAAGGAAGAACACTATTAAGAAATCAGTGACATTAACCTCTTCCCAATCTATTTCCCTAGAAGATAATAAATGCTTTTGCCAATACTAAAGAATACTACCAATAGAATGGGAGAAAATATTCACAAACTATGCATTGGACAAAGGTCTAATATCCAGAACTGATAAGCAACCTAATTCAACAAACACAAATAACACCATTAAAAGACGGGCAAAGGATACGAACAGATATTTCTCAAAAGAAAACATACATGCAGCAAACAAATATATGAAAGAAGGCTCATCACTAATCATCAGAGAAACACAAATCAAAACTACAATGTGATACCATCTCACATCAGTCAGAATGTCTATTACTAAAATGTCAAAAAACAACAGATATTGGTGAGGTTGGGGAGAAAGGGGAATGCTTATTTATACACTGTTGGGGAGAATGTAAATTTAGTTCAGCCACTGTGGAAAGCAGTGTGGACATTTATCAAAGAACTTAAAACAGAACTACCATTTGACTCAGCAATCCCACTACTGGGTTATATCACCAAAGGAAAACAAATTGTTCTACCAAAGAGACACATATACTCTTACGTCCACTGCAGCATTATTCCTAATAGCAAAGACATGCAGTCAACCATGATGCCCATTAATGATGGACTGGATTAAGAAAATGTGGTACATATGCATCATGGAATACAATGCAGCCACAAAAAAGAATGAAATCATATCCTTTGCAGGAACATGGCTGCAGCAGGCGGCCATTATCCTAAGCAAACTAATGCAGGAATAGAAAACCAACCACCACCTGCTCTCACTTGAAAGTGGGAGCTAAACACTGAATATACATGGATACAAAGATGGGAGCAATAGACACTGGGGGCTGCTTGAGATGGGAGGGTAAAAGGGGGGTGTGAGCTGGAAGACTACCTGTTGAGTACTATGCTCACTACCTAGGTGACAGGATGGTCTGTGCACCAGGCCTCAGTGACACACAATTTACCCATGTAACAAACCTGCACATGTACCCCCAGAACCTAAAGTATCTTTGCCTCTTCTTCTAAAATGGAAAAAAGGGAATGGTGGGGACTTTACCAATATAATGACTGTTTTTAGAGGAATCTTCCTTGGTATCTTAAGAAAACACATGGGAAGTCATCTCAAGGTATTATACCTAAAATCACTTCTGACACTCCCAGGTGCAAACATCTTCTGGCTCCCTTTTAATTATCCTAAGACCATAAAAACAAAAAATAAGTTTCTAAAATTTAAACTAGAGGCTGAATATCCCTTATCAGGTCCCAAATACTCGGGACTAGAAATATTTCAGATTTCAGATTTTGTAATATTTCCATTACACTTGCCAGTTGAATATCTCAAATTCAAAAATCCAAATGTTTCAATGATTATTTCCCTTGAATATCATGTTGGCATTCAAAAAGTTTTAGATTCTGGAGCAAGCATTTTGGATTTCAGATTTGGAGTTGCAGGAAATCAAAATATTTTACCCCCAAATATATTTCTTTAACATACAGTAATTAAGATAGCTGTCAGAAAGTTAGCAAAAAGAAGTAGCTCTGCAAAGCTGTCTTTTGTGAGGGAAATTTACATTTGTAGAAAAATCTACACTGACTGCAGCCAGGCCTCCCCTTGTCCAGATCTAGAAAACATTAATTGAGAATCTGACACCTTTCAAGGTCTAAAAAAGCATTTATCATCTATTGTCTCCAAGGGCTGCTACCCGTGAGGTTTCATCTGTATAACAAGACCGCTTTTGCTAGCGAAGCCTTCTGTCCCTCCTATAACCTATTTTGCCCAATCTAAGCCCCTATTCTTTCTCTAACTTCAAGATACTATATAAGCTTCTACACCCCCCTGGGAGGTTACGTGGTCACTCTGCAATATTCTCCATATGCACATTAATAAATTAGATACCTTTTATTTTACTAGTCTGTCTTTTGGGAGCTGATTTTTAAGTAAATTTTCCCTTGGTCCCTACAGTTTTGACACAGTAAGCAGGGTCACCAAAGCTGTTCTGCTCTTTTGGAAGCTGCAACAAAGATAATCCAGGACCTCACCAGCCAGCATAAGATAAAAATTTCTTACCAGCCAGGCTCCAGACCTCTTTCTCCCTGTGGAATCTGATCAAGTGGATGGTTTAAAAAAAAAAAAAAAAAAAAAATCACTGTTTTCTTTTTCCTCTCCAGAATCGTTTTGTATTTTTTGCCATCAGGTCTCCCTCTGTCTCTCAGGTTGGAGTGCAGTGGCACAATCTCAGCTCACCGCAACCTCTGCATCCCAGGCTCAAGTAATCATCCCACCTAAGCCTCCCAGGCAGCGGGGGCCGCTGGCTAATTGTTTGTATTTTTGGTAGCGATGAAGTTTACCATATTGCTGAGGCTGGTCTTGAGCTCCTGAGCTCAGGCAGTCCACCTGCCTCAGCCTCTCAAAGTGCTGAGATTACAGGAGTTGAGGCACCACGCCCACCTACAGAGCCACCGAGCCCAAATCTTGATTAATGGGAGAAAAAGATTTGTGTGACGAGTCTTGGTTATGGCTTTTGGTACCTGGGGTATGAATATTCAAACTGTTTGATTCCTTTCTTCCCCAAAATAGTCTTTTCCTTTATCTTTGTCTGTGTTGCTGTCATAAAAATTAGGGTACTGCTTGAGGTTCTCTCTTGTCATTTTATGCCCTGGAAAGTTTGACTTCTCATCAAGTGGAAGCACACTCTCTCTTGGTCTCTGCCATCTTGGGGCATGATTTTTGAGTCATGTCACGTGGCCAGTCTAAAAATGGCTAGAAACCCAAGATTTTGTTCCAAATGTGTCAAGCTCTTAGGAGAGTCTGTCATAAAAAGTCTCATCTACAAGGGGCTTTTGTCATCTCAACCTTTGTTGCCTGCTTAGTACTAAAAAAGTCCAATCCTATGAGGGCCTACCCACTGTCACAGATTAACAGGTCTGTGACTGGTGGGACCCCATATATTTGTGGGTTACTGGAGACCATCCATGATAATTAGAACCTTTCACTATCTGAGCCTATTCTTGGCAATACATTTTTTTTGTGGGGGCGGGGCATGGGAACTTTGGGATAGTAGGCTCTTCTATGCCCTCTCCAAGAAAACATTTCTAAACCTAAAAAATTACATCCTGGGTTTTCCATAAAGAGACTATTAGATTGAGTCACTATTAAAATAAGTACACCATTAAAAATTCAACAGTCAAAAGATGGGTCCTTTAAATTAGACTCCCAAATTAAAAGAAAAAAAAATTTTAAGAGATCTCTTATTCTAAACAATTGATGAGAAGGTCACTTTTTTTTTTTTTAAGACACATAATAGTGTCATGGCTAGTCTTAAAAATTCTCTTGACAAAATTAAAGGAGCAAAAATCTGACCTAAAACAAAGTTAAAATCCTTTGTAAGCTCACACTCCCTGCTTTAGATCCCCAGTGGGATTCACAGTAAAGGTTGCTGTACCTTACGGCTGGCAATTCACCACCACCGCCTGGGTTCAATTCCTGGTCAGAGAATCGGCTCCTTTTGGCTCAATATTCATGTGACTTTGACTATTTGGGGTACCCATCCACCTCTTTAGAAATGCCAAGTGCATCCTTAGTTAAGTCATAACTTTGGTTAAGTCTTACTAGTTTCACTTGTGAAGGTATCTTCAATAAAAAAAATTCAAAAGGCAAAAATATCTGTTTGTCCCCCCAGCTAAAATCTGATAATAGATTTTAAAAAGATTTTTTAAAAAGAGCTTTGTGGTTAAAAGCCAGCTTAATTAAAACCTGATGTTCAAATTATACATACATATATAATTTAAGAACATATATCCTGTTCTTAAATTTTTTTTCAGTAGACTAAAACATTTTTTAAAATTATGTTTGTAAAATTAGACTCTTATATTTTAATTCCTTTCTTAGAAATTGGGCCAGGCACAGAGGCTCACACGTGTAATCCCAGTACTTTGGGAAGCAGAGGTGAGCAAATCATTTGAACCCAGGAGTTCAAGACTAACCTGGGCAACATGGCAAAACCCTGTTTCTATAAAAAAATAAAATAAAATAAAAGTTGGCCAGGCATGGTGGCAGATGTCTGTAGTCCCAGTTACTCAGGAGGCTAAGATGGGGGGATCAATTCAGCCCGGGAGGTCAAGGCTGCAGTGAGCCATGATTGTGCCACTACACTTAAGCCTGGGTAACAACACAGTGAGACCCTGTCTCAAAAAATATATATTTCTCTCCCATTTACACTTATTCCTTCCTATTCCTTCTTCCTCCTCTTTGCTGTCTTTGGTACTACATAAAAGAATCTAGAGGGGACTTCTAATGATTGAGATCCCTTAAGAAAGACAAAAAAGGGTGCCATCTACCCCCTTTCTTGTACTGTGAGAGAACGTGACCTTTGTGTGTGTGGTGAGTGGTGAGTCATCACAACCATAAGAGCTACAGTTTTAGAGGTGACTGGTAACAGCTGTTTACAGTAAACGATTATTACTACAAGAGACTACTTGTCTCTTTGTGAGTTTAGATTTAAAAGATATAGTTTAAATACTTTAAAAAATGTCTTTGTATCAAAGTACACTATACAGGCATTGCATAACCTGGTTTCATGGCATTTTTCTTTCTGGGGATGTGGGATTCAATGTAGAAGTAAAATTCTAAAGTTTTAAAGCTCTGTATGTTCTGCCTTTCAACAGTGCCTACTTTCCGCATATTTTAATTATTAGGCCCTAAAAAGTACAGATACTTCGTTGACCCTGTTCCTTAATGGGCTCTGCCCTGAGCTCAGTGATCCAGTTAAAAAACAGACTAAATTTTACAATGCCCCTCTAAATAAAATTAGTGCCCTTAT